TCCGCGTTTGGCAGCCGCCTGCGTGTGAGCTGCTGATTTAACGACCGTTTGTTCCTCAAGTGTTTGCGTGTTGTCTGGCTGCCTGTCAGGTTGGTCACTTTTATGTTTTCAGGCTCTCCCCATATTTTTAAAGGATTTTCTCTTTGAATTCTTAAAACTCTTGCTGTTACGTGACTGGCACCAGTTTCGTTTAGAGGAGTGTGAAGAATGATAAGGAACGGAGTTGGGGAGCGTTAGCATCCTCCCCTGAGTTGGCTGCTGAAGTGGGGGGCTGAGGATTTTGGCCGCCATCCCGCAGCCCCTCGCACCGCTCGACGCCTGTGCCCCTGCCGCTTGTGCGTGCGGGTGTTCGGCCTGCGCCTCTGAGAATACATCAGTAGCAAATACAAAAACAAGTACCGTGTTTGGTATTACGCCAAGTATGTAAGGTTAAAATCATGTGTGGGGGTGTGTGTCTGTGACTGTTTGTGGGGAATCACAGTTACAACAGTAAACAAGAACTGCTTGGGGGGGAACCCCAAAACACAACAGCTTTTCCATCCTGGGCCGATAGCTACTCATCCTGGGTAGATAGCTACTCACATATACGCTGCTTATATCTTCATTGCTATTTTGTCAGTCAGAACTGCTGTTTCAAACCAAAATCAGCAGCTTGAAAGCAAAGCTCTCTCTTAGCTAGTGTTTTTAGTAGTTAGTTTAGCCTGACGAAGCACATGTGCGTTGTTTCTACTGCTAGTGTAGGCATGCCCTAAACCCGAAGAGCAATGGGAGAAGTATGGGTATGTGGGAAGACCAAAACCAAATAAACCCTTTGCTTACCACTTTCATGTTTTTATTCAACAGAAACTTTTGGGATGTGCTCAGTGGAGACGTGCTGGTTTGGTAGTAGAATGAATTTTTACACCTGTTGGGGCTGGGAGCCATGCTGGAGCAGTCTGTGCTCCCGCTGGGCTGCACGCGTAGGGACGGGGTGGATGGCTACAGCTAAACCCATGTACTATAAATAGTTGTCGAGCTGTTCTGACCAGGGAACATTTCACTGCTTGGAAATTGCACGTGCTGGCTGAAATGAAGCACATGTTCCTCTCTGGGTATTGGTAGCCTATGTAGCATTTACTTGTGCTGGTGGTAACGTTTGTTCTGGCTGATAGTAAACTCAGTAGCGTTTTTATGGACTACCTTTGTTATGTTTAAGTAACAGGGAAGGCTTAACGTTGGAACTGATGGATGGGAGTTGTGTTTTGAATATCTCCCGGAACACTGAAACTCAGAAACACTTAATGAGCCTTTGTGCACAGAGCGCAGAACGGTTTGGTTTGTAGTTAAGTGGTGGACTGGAAACTCTCAGTAAGTTTTCAGAGTATATTGCCAGTGAACATTTGTGCCACCTTTGTATTTGCAGCTGAGGTCCTGTGTCAGAATATTGTCTCGCTTTGAAGCTGGAAATTGCAAAGTGGTGTGATGTCAGGGTGATCTTCTGTAGCTTCTGCAGGTGCTTGCAGCTTAAAGTGATCTAATGGAAGTTATGTGATCCAGTAGCTAAAGCCATGTGGAAGAACTCTTCTGCCCAGTTCGGGCTGAACTCCTGGAGGATGATACAGCAGCTTGGCAGAAACAGCTGGCTGGCCTGGGAACCAGGTGTGTGCCCCATGAAGTGGGTTTAGCATGGGCCAGCTGTTGGATGTGTATGCAGGGATGCCCTCTTCAAGGAAGCTGCTACTATTGCTGAGCACTCTGCAAAGCTTATCCCAGCAGCTATTAGAAGATCTGCTTAGCAGATAGCTGTATGGCTGCTTACTCCTGTACATAAAAGATGTAGGGGTACAGATGCAGAGGAGAGGATATCTGCAGCAGGGATACTGATCTCCAGGAGGGAGTTTCACAGGGCACTTCTTTGGGCATGTTATTACAGATGCTGTTATGACCAGGCAGAATTCTAGTTGCTTGATAAATTTGTTCAGGGAAAAAGGAAACAAAATACCCTCAAATAACAGTCCAATGTGTTCTTCGCCTATCTTCCTTTTTTGAAAAGAACAAGAAAGTGATATTTCTTTGAGAAGAACAAGGAGTGATGTATCTTTCCTTTGTGCTGTGGAAGGACCCTGTGACTCATCCTGAGGAGAGAGAAAAGGCTTCTCCATGTCAGTTGTATTGGAGGAATTTCTGGGAAGGATGAGTGGAAAGGCAGTATAGGATAGAAATAAAATCGCCTTTCATCTTTGAGACTTAGCACTTTGTGTAGCAAAGAAAAAAAAGAAAATTTACCAAAAGTTCAAAAGGAGTAAATGTTCAAAAGCTATTTCTGTTTGAAAATCAAGTCAGCTTGATTTTAGGAATGTACCTGAAATGGAAAACAAACAAAAACAATTGAGAAACAAAACCCCAAGCAGCAATATGCATTGTTTATATCTGATTTCCTCATCAGAGAGGTAGCAATCTGTGCCCTTTGTTTGAGAGGACACTGGCTGACTCTAAGTCCCTGGAGGAGTGGTCTTTCATGCTGAAAATGTGGAGTATGTTGGCAGAAGTATAACGCTTAAAATAATTCATGTTGCCTTTAATGTCTGTGTGTGTTTTCCCACTGAAGAAAGCTAGATTCTTGATGACGGTTTCATTGTGCTTTCTGAAATGATGCTTAATGGAGTAGCAAAGTAAAAACCCTGTTAATGCACTCTGCGCTCTTCTATGCAAACATAGAACAGCCTCAAAACTTCTGCCTCGGAGCCCTTTATAGATCAGAAAATCAACTGAAGTTTTAGGCATTGTTGAAAAGAGGATTATCCAGATGAAAATACTTCAGCTGGGGTTTGCTTGTAGTGTTACTGGCATGCTGGAAAATGAGGGCAATTGATTTAGGAATGTCACATCTGAAGGTCCTTAGAGGTCAAATCCAGTCTTTCTTATCACTGGCACCTTGCTGCATAATCCCTTTCAAAGATTTAGTGGTGGAGCAGAAGCTTAGCAGGCGAGCCAGGAGCACCTGACTTTTGGTAAATTGTGTAACTTTACCTCTGCCTCAATTTAGCTGTTCTTTCTCCCAGCCTAATAGTCACAGACCCCTTAGGGCTCTTCAGGGTCTGACTACGGCCAGTTTATCTACCAGTCACAAAAAAATTTCTAAGATATTATTCTCTTGGACCCAGAGAAATTGAGGGAGGGGCAGCTAGGGGTGATGTGTTAGCATGACAGGGGTTGCGGCGCTTGCACCTCAGGACCTGCTGTGGTCCCACAGAGCCTGGGTCAGGTCCCGGTAAGCCCCATCTCCAGGACTGGATGCAGCCCAAAGCTGTTCTTTGTTGTTATGCTTAATCACAAATGTACAACGGTTGAGGCTGAAGAGCGTGAATGTTTGAAGTGTCAGTGTTCTTCCAGGACTGTGATGCTCATGGGGGCCATCTCCGTGGGCTCTCAGGTACATGCTGAGTGAGGTTGGGGTCAGAAGGGCTGAAGAATCGTTTCCCCTTTGCAGGGAGCTATGGCCTTCTCCACTCGGGCATCCAGCATCCAAACAGGGGACAGGGGAGAGAAGAACCGGGGCACTGAGTCTCACAGATGTGATATTGCATTCACATCTCCTTCGCTTCCCATCTTCTTCTCCGTTTAACATGGCACCAAACCCAGGTTATTCCAGAAACTGGGTGCAGACATGGGTTTGCTAAATGAGTGATTCACTTCCTAACCTCTCCTGGCTGCTTGTACGTCTGAGTCAGAGAGAGTATTTGTGCCTGGTTTTGCTTTTTGTCCATTTGTATGTCTGGGGTGGGAGTGGAGTTTGTTTGGAAATTTTCTTTAAAAATAAATAAATAGGTATAGGCAGAATTTTGACTTGTGAGGGAGAAGACCTGAAGTTTAACTGGGTTTTTATATTTAACTTATCCCAGACTGGTAAAGAGGCTAAGGTTTATATGTGTTTTCTCATCTCCCCGATCCGTAAACCTGACAAGTGCATTCAGAACAACAATCTCACACCTCACTTTTTAGCAAGTGTTGACTAGACTAAAATAACATTTGCTGTTTCCTAACAGCTATAAAGTACAATATGTTCTCTAATAAATATTTGAAGCTATATATACATAATTGTATCTATACTTGTTTCATTTTTCCTATAAGGTGGCTGTAAAAGTTTTATAGAAACCTTGATTTGACTGCCTCCTTTTTCTACATGCAAATTAGGAAACTTGATAATCCAGTTTGATCCTATGCTTATTAGTGATGCTTTATTTTGTAAATTGTAATTCTCTTGGAGCAGTCATCCTTATATTAAAGGACTTTGGGTGAGTTAATTTAAACAGCATACTATATTCTTGATCAGATATTATGGTGCTTTAATTATAGGAACTCTAATGAGATTAGTGGCCACGAGTAAATCGGAAGGGATTGTTGGGGGTGGGGAGAGGCTGAATCCAACAGTGTTTTGTGCATGGCTGGTTTTGGTGGGACTAAAATCCTGCTGTCTTCTCCTGAGCATGAAACATGGAGATTGTCTTCCCTCTGCCTAGGACCTATTACCGGTTGTATTCTCCCTGTGACCTGGGATCTTGGTTTTGACTCCTTTCTTTTCTGTGCATGATCTCTTTCTGAAAGAGCTGGAGAAGAAGAAGCAGCAGACTGTTACAGTCAGGATTTTTGTGGGGAATGTGATTATAAAGCCACATAGTGAAGGGGAGAATTTAGGAGCAGGCTGTATTGCCTAAAACTAGTACCAGCTTGGAGCTGGAGGGGCTTGACACCTATGTGCATCTTCAGGTGTCTGATGGTATCCTATGAATGATACACCTTCAAAGCTCTAGTCTGGTTGCTGATGAAAACCAGCCAGCAGAAATGTAGGCACCAAGTGCTGAATCATCTGATGGTTAATGAGCTGCTTGTGTCCTGAGTCAAACCAGAGCTCAGAAGGGCTGCTGTCGTTCAGGGCAGGAGAAGCTCTGTGTTTGCAAGGGTTTTTAGTCCAAAACCATGCTGTAACACTAGCTATCGAGTTGCCAGGATGGCTGCAGACTGGCTACCAGGAGGTGATGGCAGGGTGAGCGGCCACCCTCCAGCTGATGTTGCAAGAGCAGAGAAGTTTCCAAAGGAGGAAGAGAGGTGCAGGAGGAGAAAATAACGTATTACCTGCTAGGTTACAGGCTTTTTAAACCAAACCAGCCGCTGTAAGATGTCTATGTTCCTGAGCAGAAAGAGGAGGAGACAGATAGACCTGGTCCATCAGCTGTGAGCAGCCTGTAAGCTGCAGGAGCACCTAAACTTCTTCACTGTCATTTTCAGCAAAGAGCTTCTGGAAGTCTGTCCAGACCAGTGCCGAAATGCTACTGCGTAGCCAGTTGCCCAGGGGTTACTGTCATGGTTCAGGATGACACCCAAGTACCTTTAAGATGGTAAGCATTAAAATTGACTAAGCATATAGGTGGCTTTTACTCCCTCTTGAATGCTTGTTGATGGATCCACTTTGGGCCAGTACTTGAGTTTGGAATGAAGTTTTACAAAATCAAGCATTGCTGGAAATACTTTTAAATTCTTTTTAAAGAAAACTGATTTTGAGCAGTGTTCTTGAATGATAATACTTCCTATTTGTCCTAGTGTGTGTAGGCCTAGATACTCTGTCAAGATACCACCACTTGGTGTGGTATTTGTTCGCTGTGTAGAAGTAGCTGTAAGTTTACTTTACGTGGATAGCTATGGCTTCTTCTTGTTTGGGTAAGTCTTTGCCAGATGTAGAGCTGGAATAAGTGGCCATTGTTTCTTAGCTGTGCTGTTACAGAATGAAGGGGAAAAAGAGCGGCTGTTCTTCTTGCAGCCAAGAAGGTTTCCATTAAAACTCTGATCTGTAGCATCAGAGATGTTGGGAATAGAAACGATGGTGTCACCCTTGAGCAGCTACAGGAAGGGTTTTGCTAATGGGGGAAAGCCTGAATTCCTGGAGTGAGGATAAATGGTGTCATGAAATTGCTGATGCTGGTAGCAAGGGGTGAGGGTAAATGGCGAGTCCTACAGTGGTGCCATGAATTTGTTGGTGTTGATAGTAAAGCTGATTTTGAAGGGTAAAGACTTCCTATGAATGTGAAATTGCAGTGAGAGATGGAGGAGAACTGGTTTTGTTTTAGCTTGGATAGAAATCTGACTCTGAAAATGTGGAATTTCTGTGAAGCAGAAGCCGTCCTTGCCCATAGCCTTGTGCTGCACCTCGCTGGTCTGTCGGCCGTGTTGGCGTTGGGGACCATAGACCATCTGAAGGTTGTCTGCCCCGTGCCTTCCCTCCCACTGCACCCACCAGCTGTTCCCAGGAGCTACCAGGCACCGGTATGGACTCAGTCCAGGGATTTTAAAGTGAAATGAGTCAAAAACTGAACTGTTGGGTTTTAATTGCCCAAACAAAGAGAGATGAAGGAGTTAAATGGGGGTTGGGAAGGCCTTCAGCTCGCCTCTGCCCCATTCCTCTGTTTCTCCACCCAGACCAACTGTTCTTCCGACTGCTTTGAGGCCTCTTGGCCCTTCATTCCTCTCTTCTTCTTGTACAAATATCTTGCTTCCTGCTGTCTAAAACCAGCCAGGCTTGAGGAAAGTACGTATCTTACGTGGCCAGGATGTAAGTACATTGTCAAAATGATTAAGAGTTGTAAGGGATGTAATTTTTTCAAAAGAATTTGAACTGGTGAAGGAGGGCATTGCTTACCTACCCAGTTACGCTGGTTTACCTGTCTTTCAGTATGCTTTAGCTCCTTACACTTACGTTTCTCTTGCTCTTTTTAATAATTTCTTTACAAGTTATATTTACAAAAAAAAGTCCTTGTCTATAGGATTTTTATTAGCCAAGTACCTGTGACTTTTTCTAGTACAGAAAAAGTGACAAATTTGTCTAGTGATGAAGAGGCTGTTTAACTTTTGAGTCCATTTTTAACTACTTGGAAAATTCTTGGTAAGGCAAAGAAATTAATTTTATTTAGAAGTTAACAAGATCATAAAAATAACAGCATTCCTGTTGAATAACCAGTTCTTAAATGTATGTTCTTCTGCTATTGCAGACATACATTTATTGCATAGGTAAATAAGCCCTGTGATAGCATTTGCTTAATGTAGGTGAAATGGGGAAAAATTAGGATGAAAAACAAATTGAAGACTTTACTCGTAGAGAAGAAAACTTGATGGATTTCAATGCACAAGGTCAGAAGTTTAACAGTAATTTAGGCCAGATTTGGAACTGAACCTGAAATAGCTTAGAGTCCACATTTACCTTAGTAGTGACCTCACTGCTTTAATTTAAGATCGGTGTATATTTTCATTGACAAGCTTGTTGGGATGAAGAGTTGCTCCTGTTTATTTACTTAATTGCAAGAAAGGCCGTGCTCTTCCTAGATTACAATTTCATGAAAAGATAAAGAAATTTCTAAAGCAATCCTACTTCCTTTACCTTACGAGCTTGCTAGTAGTCTGTAGTGCGCTTACAAAATGGAAATATCTCTTTTATAAGGAATACCAGATTGAAATAATAATAAAAGTACCTTGCCCCTTCTGTGGACTTTTTTTTGCCCTCTGATGTTTTTATTAAGTAGAGTACAAACTATATTGGATATTGCATTAGGAAACAGAAGGGGCAAAGTTTAATTTTCTCAAGCCTAGTCATGCAGATGCCATTGCGTGGTGTTTTCTGCCACTGACATGACACGAGTGGTGGCAAAGGCACGTACCTGTCTAGTTTAATTGCTTTGGCTCCCTGATCTTGTAGGGATGGTGGTGTATCGGATCTGAATGACTCTGTCCCTTTAGCTTGTAGGAAAGGGAAGTCCTATCCAAACTGTTTCAGCTGTGATGTGGCTCAGTGGGGTTGCTCACACAATACGAGGAAGGAAGAAGAGCGAGAAGAAGATTGCCAGGATGGGAAGGGCTTGGTGATGTTGTAAGAATCGGTTTGCCCCAGAAGGTGGGCTTGCTCTCAGGGTAAACTTTCATGAAACAAAAGGGAATCATGAAGATGGGTGGCCTCTGTGTATAAGGTGGATCTTTGGCCTCTGTTTAAACCTGCAGCTGAATACCGGCCAGTTATTCTGGTAAATGGTGGCCAGACAGTGAAATGGGACTAGCTCTATTTCTGGTTTCCTATTGGGGCGGGCAGGAAATAAACCTAGCCTTAAAAACGGAGGGGGAAAAAAAAAGTAATGGATTTTAAACACAGCTTAAAGTATAGAACTTCCAGGAAAATAATGGCTTAGTGTTTTACCGGACTACTGGAAGACTTTTGTACCACATAGGCAGCAGCGAGGGGTGGAGTGGGTAGGCGCAGCGTGCCATCTGTGACCCGACGACAGAGGTGCTGTGAGAGGTGCCGCTTTCCTGAGCAAGCAAAAAGCAGCACTTTGCTATTGCCAGTATTACTGCTGCTGTATGGAGGCGAAGAAATGGCGAGGGAGGGCTTCTTAACGCTTTCAGCTATGTTCATGTTGCTGTGTGAGTGCACTTTGGGGAGAGGACAGCGCAGGCCTTTCCGTTCCAGCGCACCTGTGCAGTGCCAGGTATATTTTGTCTGCTTGGCGGTACTCCTTGAGAGGCCTCATGGAAGCAAGTATGTGAAGTGCTCCGTGCTTTGTCAAGTGTGTGTGCAGCTCAGATGTGCAATAGCTTGGAAACTCTGCCTGGTTAACTTCATGGTATTAGCATGCAGCTTAAAAAGGCGAAAGAATGCACAACTTAAAAGATTTTTCGGAATGGACAGATCCACAAAAGAGCAAACATGCCCCATAGTGTTTAGATGCCAAGTGTTGCATACCAACTACAAAATGTAGGTGTTAGGACACTGGGCAGAATTATGGTGGTGATGGTATATTTTATTGCACTGGACTAATCCTACTCAGGTTAAGGCAGAAGATCCGTTGTAAAACACTGGAATTCTATCTAAATGTTGCTGTTAAACATTTTACAGGTATTGACACATACATAGCCAGCTAGACCTCCAAATGGCTGAAGTGAAATACATTATTAAAATCTGGATATTTCAAAGTATGCACGTATCTATGGCCCCCATTTTCCTTATATAGGGGCAGTGGGAATTAAGCAACCTCAGAAATTTTCACCCATTTCTGTAATGGAAAGTAGATTAAGCCTTGCTTCTGTTGTATTTCTCATAACACTTAAACAATAATTTTCAAACTTCTAAAGATGCCTGTTCTTTCAAGGCATTGTCTGGAGTTGTAACTTTATTTTAAATTACTAGCATCTTCCCAGTCTCTACAATTAAACCTTCCTTGCAGTGAGTTGCGACTGTTACTGATGGACGTTGCTGAGTGCTTTTTTGCCTCAGTGAAGTAGGTATTTAATGCGAAGGCTTGATTTGTCATTCTTTTTGTGAGAGCAACTCAGCAAATCCTGCCTGAGGTATCCCAGAGTGTAATGCTTCATGAGGACCTCACCCAAGCCAAGACAGGGAGTCGGACAAGGCCAAGCCTTCTGGTAAATTAAGGATCTGAAATGAGTTCTGGATCTCATTCTTTTTCTTTCTACGACAAGAAAAACAGACCTTGTCTAAAGCTGAAGGTCTACAGTCTTTTTAGCTAGCAGTGCTGCTCGCCCCAACCTGCAACTTGTTCCCTACCATTTATGCATCATCTGACCCACCAGCAGAAAAAAATGATCTGGTTTAAAAGTAACGTTTCAGAACTGTTTTTTTTTTTCGTCTTACTCAGTTCCTGACTGTCTCATGCACAACATGCAAATGTTTAGTCCACGACAAGGCGGTACTGAATCGTGTCCGTGGCTAAGCAGGGCCATTTATTTTGGCAACTGTGACAGCCTGTCAGAAGAAAACAATTGGAAAGGTAGCGCGAGGAAAGGGAACAGAACATGTTCAAGATGATGGCACGTGGAGGTTTTCATGGAGCTCAGTGAAATCAGACCTGCGACGTGGTCCTGTTGCTGCATCATTTCCTATTTCACAATCCCGAGGGAAGTCACGGCTTGTCCAGCACCCGAAGGTGCGTCTGCACCCACAGCTCTCGGCCAGGCGTGGTGGCACGGTCCAGAGTGTTTCTGTGAGGTGCTCGCAGTGCTGAGGTTCCCAGTCCAGCCCAGGCTGGTACCCGCTAGTCCTGTCTCTGCTGCCTGTGGCATCATTAAATAAGAAGCTCTCAACTAGCTGGAATTTTAAAGCATCCCCAAATGTTTTATAACATAGAACAGATTATTCCTAAGGCAGTTTTTCAAGGGAAGTTTTTCATGTGAGTATTCTTGCAGATGAGGAGCTGCTTTTTTTGATCTTGCTTGTTTCAACAGCTTTAGGTTGCTGCAGCCAAGCCGTGCCAAGTACGATCATTATTTTCTTGAGTGAAATTTTTCCTGGACCAGAGCTCTCAAAAGAAGTTCTTTAGTGCTCCTTACCTGTTTGAATAACAAGTGAAAAGATGCAAAGCTCAAAATGATAGAAGGATTTTTGGTTTTTATTGTGTGGGTTGTGGGGTTTTCTCGGGGGAGGTGGAGGTGGGTTGTTTTTTCTTTTTCTGCAAAGACAGAAAATGCCTGAAGACTGTTATTAAATATGATGTTATTTGAAAACGGACAACAGAACAGGGTACAGCCCTGTCATGGAAGAACTGGTATGCATCATCTTGAGATCTTTGCTGCTGAAGGTTCTTTTTGAGTTTGGTCATACAGTCTTTTGGTACCATTACAAAAAAATAAACTTATTTTGAAGAAGACAACCAAAATCAATTATTACTATTCCAGTATATTCTTTTCCACTCTAATTGACTTTTTATGTTTCTATAGGTGTGCTGCTTTTGACTCCTAAAATTTTTAGACTTATTTTTACAATGAGTATAGAATTTTTTTTAAAGCTGTATGTAATCCACACTTCTAGCATGTGCGTTGGCCTGAATTTGGCTGTAACTACAACTTTCACAAGCTAGAAGTGTGTTTCTTGGTGAGAAGCATTGAGATGTTCATTTGGGGGAAGGGGAGGAGACCAGGGGAGGGTCCCTTCTCCTTGCCCCAGTGAACTGGCATCAGATGGTAAGTTTTCTGGTACTAGCTTGCCATTTAGCTTCTGTATGAAGTTGTGGTCTAGGAGAATTTTGTTTTGTCAGTCCTTATGGTGAAAAGAAAGGGCAAGGAAGAGGTGGTTTTTTTTTTAAACGATTTTACTTTTTGAAGTAGGAGCTCGCCCAACCGTTGGAACATTAGTAGGAGGCAGCAAATCTGGGTTAATGGTGACAGATGATGAGAGCGGCTAATAATGATGGAACCACTTCGGGAATATAGGAGAGAGAGGAGAGCAATGATGCCATTTGTTGTATGTAGCAAGGCTTTATTTGGAATCTCGGGAACCAGGATTTAAGAAAAATGGCAGGAACCAGGAAGACCTGCAAGGAGAAAAGCGCTGTCACACAGATGCAGAACTGTTTATTTTAGCATAAGCAGAACTGGGAGGAGAAACAACTGCTTTCTCTAAATGCAAGAGGGAATGAGTTGAGTAGGCACTTGTAAAGAAGTTTTGGCACAACACAAACTATAAAAATTGCAAAGAGTTAAGTTAGGCTAGAAATCAGTGTGAGCCTGTGTATTTGGGATAGAAGGGAGGGACCTGGCAGAGCCCTTCCAGTCTCTGAATTTGGGAAGAAGGGCGCAGCATCTGAGCTTTTCTCAAAGCTGGCACCTTGGATGCTGTCAAAAAGGACTTGCTATGTGATACCATTATGCACTGAATTTGGCCTGGTTGGATGGGAAGGCTGCCTGTGCTTCTCGGTGCGCTCTGTTGAGAAGCTTGAGTCCAATGAGGAAATGGTAGAAGAGTTTTATTATCTGGTGGTACTTCTTTTTTAACCATTGAAAACAGCAAAAGATTTTCTAATGCCCAATGTGTACCTGCAAGCAGTGCACTTCAAACCATTCTTTGTGTCTGGTGTTTTTTTGGTCTGTAAGGAGTCTGAAGTCAAATGTCTTGCACTGTTTTTAGGAGAAACAGCTTTTAAATAAACTTCAAAACTGTTTTTGGTTAGACTGATCTGGATGAGTCGGAGCAATTTCCAAGTGGTTCCCTCCCTTGGCTGGCAGGGGAGAGACTGCATTGCCGTTACCTGAGTTGACCTAGGCTATGGAGGATGTCATTGTGAAATAAATCTCCAAGGGAATTCATGCAGGCTGTTTTATAAAGAAACTTATGAAAGAAAGAAGAATTAGCAAAGACCAGTGATTGTTTCTTTTAGTTTCCACAGATTGCTTTTACTTGAAAACAATGAACAGAACAGATGGTTAAGGCACCGAAGAAAAGCTATGTAACATTGAAAAACAATCTCTGAAATTGGGTGGTTTGGGTGTGGGATTGGTTTTAATTTTTTTTTTTCCTGTGAAACTACAGTTACCAGATGGGTGAATGCGCTGTAAATTACTGGAAGGTGGTAGCTGCTTGTTGAACTTCTTTGTCTTTCTTTTAGTCTTTAGTTTAGCTGTATGCTTCACTTCACAGGCTGCAGCATATTCATTCTGGATTTATCTCCTGATATCTCATTCTACGTTTTTTTTTTTTCCTTCCAGTTTTTGATACCCATATCTGACAAGTTTTGTGGAAGGATTTTGGCATTCTTAAAGTACTTACGTTGGCTGCCAAGTAGTCTTTTTGTAGCTCGAGGTGGCTGAAAGGTGATTTATTGGGGATTCTGGTGAAATCCATCCTGGCTCTGTGCCTGGCCTGGTGTACCTAGAGAGAACTTTGCTGCTGAGATGCAATAAATGTTGTTTCTGTATTCATCACAAAATATACCTGCAAACTGCCAGAATGAACTTGTTGAAGCTGTTGTGCTCTTTATGGCTGCTGTATGCAAAAGCAAGATCCACAGGGAAAATCACCAATCTTGCACAGAGGTAGAGGCTGGGTAGCCAGGCACACATCTTACATCTTTGATGTCCTGTATGTGTTTGCACCTTTGAAGGCTGTGTATCATTAAAGAATATTTTTATTCAAATCATATTAAGTTAGGTTTATAGCAGACTAAACTGGTCTCCTGAAGGGTTTCAGTTTCACGTAGTGTCTCTGAGTTCACCAGTGAAGTCTGTCTGGGAAGAT